GCTGCACCTTTTAAGGTGGAACGAGAAAATTTGCACAACAGGCTGACTTCAGCTTCATGACTTTTTAGTGTTTGACTGATTCTTGTTGCAGATTAAACGTTTCAGGCAACCAGCTGGAGTGATTATGAACGCAAATACGTCCATTCGTCTCCAAATTATCGATGTTCATCTTAAATCTTTCTCTTTGCCTTTTCGTTAGCTATTAGCTAGGTGAGAGTGTTGTCTGTGTTGCTATGGTGACCAGCAGTCTGCGCGCCAACCTTCAGGGTTAAAGGGTGAATTAGCAGTTATATATTAACTCCCGCATTTAAGGCCATTTATTGTTAAAAATGTGTTATAATGATCAGCAGAGCTTTATTTTACTGCAAAGGAGGATTTTATTTTTAACTAAAAATCTAACTCAGGCACAACCGTGGGGCAGTGGGTAGCACTGTCACCTCACAGCAAGAAGGGCCTGGGTTCCTGGCCGGGTCATTTCTGTGTAGAGTTTGCCTGTTCTCCCCGTGTCTGCGTGGGTTTCTTCCGGGTACTCCGGTTTCCTCCCATGGTCCAAAGACATGCAGTCAGGCTGATTGGACATGCTGAATTGCCCCTAGGTGTGAGTGTGTGTGTGTGATTGTGTATGTCTGTCTGTCTGCCCTACGATGGACTGGCGACCTGTCCAGGGTGTATCCTGCCTTCCGCCCAATGACAGCTGGGATAGGCTCCAGCACCCCAACGCAACCCAGAAGGATAAGCGGTTTAGATGATGTATGTATGTATGTATGTATGTATCTAACTCTGCTGTGGAGCCACAACAGAACAGTGAAAGAGTTGCATGTTGCTCCGGAGCCTCATGTTGCTGACCCCTGGACTAGTGGGACATTTTTGCCTGATAACAACTGGCAGTAAATGTACAAGGTACCATTACTCCAGTCACAAAATCCAATCATAAGTAGTCACTGGAGACACATTTGGGACAGGCATAAATGGCAATACGTCATGGATGGATGTTAACACCAAGTGTGAACAGGGCCGAATAAACCTGCTTATGTCATTCTGTTAACCTGTGTATGTCATTCTCACAGGCGGGCCTAGTTTTAATACACACTTCTATAACCTAAGAATAGCTCAACCAGTTTGCTTTGAAGTCCCTGTAGTTACTGAATAACACACTGTAAAAATGTCTACCTAAAAAAATTGCTTCATGTAGTAACAAGTAATTTAACTAGTTTTATTCAGCTCAAAAAAATTACATAAAAACATATTTAGCCCTTGTGTGGTGTTGATGTGTTTGTTACTCAGTGGTCTGGTGGCCCCACTACATTATTGCCTTTTAAATCAATACAGCCATAAGAATGTATGTAAAAATACCAGATGTTTAAAATATCTCAAGTGGCCAGTGTAGGATTCTCCTTTAGCAGCTGTAGCCAGTCAGCAGCCTGTTCATGTTGTCCACCCTCACACACACACACACACACACACACACACACACACACCTACACACACATACAGAAAATGTGTTATTTTGTGTTATTACTGCAGGACCCATTTTCAATGTTTACCAAAAGAAAAAATGATGCAATTTATTATTATTTCAACCTCAGATTCTTGTCCTTTGCTCATTTTCTGTGAAGAACATATAAAATAACCCATTTTCAGTGTCTTCACTCTGTTCACCCCCCACACATCTATATTACACGTGACGTTGGGTGAACCCGCGGGGAGTAAAAGTGTGGAGGTGCTGTGTCCGTCACTCTGTTCTCCTCCTACATGGCCTGCTGTTAGTGTGTGTGTGTGTCTGTGTGTGTGAGGGTGGACAACATGGACAGGCTGCTGACTGGCTACAGCTGCTAAAGGAGAACCCTACACCGGCCACTTGAGATATTTTAAACATCTGGTATTTTTACATAAATTGTTATGGCTGTATTGATTTAAAACACCAGTAATGTGGTGGGTCCACCAGACCACTGAGTAACAAACACATCAACACCACACAAGGCATAACTGTCATTTTGGCTGGAAAATTAAATAAATGAACGGTGGTCTCTGACTTTTGCACTGTGCTGTATTTCAGGTGTCAAGGTGGCTGTTTTGAACCTCATATTGCACTGTACTTTTATAGATAACAGAATGTCGTATAGAGTCGGAAACCGCATATGCAGGTCTAATTGAAGTTACCTAACAACTCTATGTGGTTTTGTCATAGGCATGTGTTGATTAGACATGCAGATTGATTGATTGATGCAAACAGGTGCATAAGCTTCCACAGCCTCGCAGCTCCAGTGCAGAAGCAAACTTGAGGCATGAAACGTGTCTTGGCTGGTTGACTATGGGGTAAGAGGGAAACTGTGTAGACTTGATTTCTCCTCAAACTATCACTTTAAGACGTGGTTTTGACATGTCACTCGAATCTGTGATTTGTATCGTTGTGGGTTTGTGCTTGTAACTTTCTACTTGGTGAACAGACAGCTTGCTCACGCTAGCTTGCGACCATATTTAGAAGCTCACTCATTCATAAACTTATGAACATAAGACCATTGTGCTAAGTGTGCTCAAATACTGATAAGGAATGAAGGCTGCTTGAATTTCAACCCATATGAGCATCACTGCCTCTTTGGAATGGAAAATAAATAAGATCGCAGTGAGATTTGTTGGGCTTTTGTGTGCAGATGTTAGTTCTTTTATTCTGATAAGGCACAAATACCAGCAGAGTGTAACCTTACTCAGCTGTATATATGAATCTCTCTCTCTCTCTCTCTCTCTCTCTCTCTCTCTCTCTCTCTCTCTATCTATCTATCTCTCTCTCTCTCCCTCTCTGTCTCTCTCTCTATTGCTCTATCCCTATCTCTCTCTCTCTCTATCTATCTCTCTCTCTCTCCCTCTCTGTCTCTCTCTCTATTGCTCTATCCCTATCTCTCTCTCTCTATCTCTTGCTGTCTCCCTCTCACTCTCGTTCCCTCTCTCTATCCGTTCTCTCCTTCTCTCTTTCTCTCTGACTCTTGCTCTCTCGCTTTATCCCTGTCTTTCTCTCCTTCTCTCTTTCGCTCTCTCTTTCACTTGCTCTCTTTCTCTCTTTCTGTCTCTTGCTCTCTCTTTCCGTTTCACACTCTCCCTATCTCTCTTTCTCTCTCTCACTCCCTCTCCTTCCCTCTCTCACTCTCTCTCTTTCCCTCTCCCTCTCTCATCTCTCTGCCTCTCTCTCTCACTATCTCCCTGTCCTTCTCTCTTTCGCTCTCTTTCACTTACTCTCTCTTTCTCTCTTTCTGTCTCTTGCTCTCTCTCTTTCACACTCTCCCTATCTCTCTTTCTCAATCTTTCTCCCTCTCCCTCCCTCTCTCTCTCTCATTCTCTCTCTTGCCCTCTCCCTAGCTCTCTTTCCCTCTCCCTCTCTCGTCTCTCTCCCTCTCTCTCTCACTATCTCCCTCTCTTTCTCTCTCTCTCACTCTTTCTCCCTCTCCATCTCACTCTCACTTGCTCTCTTTCCGTTTCACTCTCCCTATCTCTCTTTCTCTCTCTCTCACTCCCTCTCCTTCCCTCTCTCACTCTCTCTCTTGCTTTCTCTCTATCTCTCTTTCTCTCTCCCTCTCCCTCTCTCTTCCTATCTCTCTCACTATCTCTCTAGCTCTCTCTCCCTCTCTCTTTCTCTCTCTCTCTCATATTCTTCTGCTAAAGCTTTTGTAGTGAGTTTAAGAGAACATTATAGAACATATACAAAAAACAATAACAGATATAAAGCAATAACAGGTGTCAAAATAATAATAATAATAATAATAATAATAATAATAAGCTGAATGTATGTGTTCTCCTAGAATGTATGGCAGCTCCTCTGTGAGGGGAAGATTCTCAAATACACAACATGTTTGGTGATTTTACTAAAGAATTCTGTTCTAATCTGAGTAAATTTGGTGTGGTCAGTCAGAAAGAGCAGCTCTGTCTCAGGCTTATTCTGCTGGCCCTGCTGGCGCAGTCTTTGATCTTTCGGTAGCCAAGACTTCCTGTGTCTGCCCGTCTCTACAGCCAGGCGGTGCTGACTGACCATTTGTGTTGAACTGTGCTTCAGGACCAGCTGAGTGAGGGGCCTGATATCTTTGCTCAACTCTCTCACACTCTCTTTCTCCCTCTCTCTCTCTCACTTTCATCCTATCTCTTTCTCCTCCTCTCTCTCCCTCTCTTTCACCCTCTCTCCCATTTTCACCATATCTCTCTCTTCCTCTCTCTCCCTCTCTCTCTCTCTCTCTCTCTCTCTCTCTCTACCTCTCTTTCTCTCTCGAGGGCCCCCTTCTGGAGTGATGATGTGAAGCCAGAGTGGACAGCATTGTATAAACCACCATTAAGTAAAAAAGGTGCTGACCTGCAGTGGAGGGTTTTACCCAGTATTGCCTCAGTTAATGATTTTATTTCTGTTTTAAACCCTCATATTTTACCACAGTGTCTATTTTGTTTCACAGTGTCTACTGTGTTTCACACTTTAATGCACTATTTTAGGCTGTGTCCTTTGTTTGATGTTTTAAATAATGTTTTTATGTCTTTTAATGTGATTTTCACACTCCAGACTTTTATTCTTGGTCTTAAATATGTCCAGAGAGAGAAGTCCAAGTGCCAAGTAATCAAATTCAACCTTGCACAGGCGAAAATGGCAAAATATGTCTGTGGTAAAAACTAGGAGGTGTGAAGTACTGACTGTGATGCCACAAGGACTCTCTCTAAGAGTATGTCAGTCTCTTTTAAGAGTAGGTGTGATATGGAGGCTTTTAAAGCAGTGTGGTGCTGTGATGAGGCCGTGTGCTCGGGGTATGGTGATGAGCTCTGCAGCACTCCCTGGTTCAATTGAGGCAAAAGTGTGAGGTTTTTGTCCTTTTGTATTTTTTTGGTAGGGATATTTTTTGTGTTTTAAAGTAATTTAAGATGATGTTCTACAGACTTTGTTTGAAAAAAGGACCCTCAAAACTCAAAAAAGTCTCTCTCTCTCTCTCTCTCTCTCTCTCTCTCTCTCTCTCTCTCTCTCTCTCTCTCTGTAGGTATAGGAGGAGGATGGCGGTGCAGAGCTTTACAGAACTGCTGCATAAGTTGAAAGAGGTCCATGAACAGGAGGTGGAAGGTGAGACTGAGATTCACATTCTAGCATATTGTACCTTATACCTTACATGTACCCTCATCAATACACGTCTCACTGAGTGTGTTTACATGCACTTAATAATCCAATAACTGCAGAAAATCAGATTTTGTCAGTAATCCGATCAATGCGTCTACATGCACTTGAGTAATAAGATAAGGTCAAAACTCCAGGTCTACATGAGTCAGACAGTAATCAGATTTCTGCTTTACAACGTAAACATAACGTAAAACTCAAACTTCATCCCGTGGCTTTTTCTTTTTTTTAAACATCTCTCCACTTTACCTGAAAATATGAACATATATCATCTAGAAGGTGAAGAATATTCAAATTCTTTATTTCGTATTTGGTTTCAGTGTCGCTCCTGAAGTGTTTTGCTGCATCTCGCGGCGACACTGCTCGCTTATTTCCGGTACCGCGGCCTGTTTTGAACCTGCACAGACTGAGAAATGCGAAAGAAATCAGAGTAAGAGTTCACATGCATTGAGAAATCTGATTACTGAGCTAAAATCCAGCTCTCTTAATTGGATTTCTAGATTGAATTTCTAGAGCGGAATATGGTGTTTACATGAGCATTTGAATAATCAGATAACTGCAGAAATCCGATTATGATTGGATTATTGAGTGCATGTAAACACATTCTTTGTTCCAGGTAGGGGAGAGTGGAGCACAACCAAACATTTAATTATTTATTCATTTTTAAATATTTGAGTAGATTTTCCTTTTTTGTTCATGCAACATACAACCTATGTGTCAAAAAAAGTAGCTAATTTTTTCAATCCTACTTTTCTACATGATTTGAACTCATATTGAGTGAAAATTTCATGATACATGTGACTTTTCATGATAAATTACTTGGAATAAAATCTCTTTACATTAACTTCCATTAAAAAAGATGTATAATTTTGCATTCTCCTGTGAAGGTACTACTTTTTACCCAGTAGTAGATTGTGCTCTACTTAATGTACTGTAGTAATGTACTGTACTACTAATGTCTGTAGTAGCCCTTTAGTGTTTCCCCCAGGTCTAAAATATACTTTGGTGCTGAGGTGGGGGGTGAGGAGAGACCCCTAAAACACAGATAAATAACAAAATCCATAATCATAACCTTTTTATTTTTACACTGAATGGCCCCAGCTATTACAAATACTCATTTTTTCATTGACAAGAATATGTAGGTATGTCAGCTACACACAAGTGTAAATAATAATAAGACTTTTTTCTTTACAAAAAGGCTTAATTTATGCCTTCTTGGCTTCTTTGAGTGTAAGTGGTGTATTTCTTCCCTTGTGAAACTATTTACTGTCACATAAACATTGTATTAAAAGAGACCTTTCACACAAGTCATGGTGCGTTAATAACCAGCTGTTGTTGTCCACTGCTTCGCTGTGTATTAGCAAAACTTTCATCTGTTCTAACAACTGGTTCCCTACTGAGCTCATGTCTGACTCTCAGCTCTTTCTGCTCACCCATACATCCTGTGGACTGGCTCCGCCCTTTACAGTAAGAGTCCTCAGCAGAATAACCCCGTGAATAAACACTGAAGAACAAATAACCTAAAAATAACATGAAAAGACATTCCTTGAATGTGTCACAAGATAATATGGGTGGTCTGACCTGCTGCCCGGCTTAGTTTTAACCTGGCTTCTTTTTCAGTGCTGTAAAAATGATGATTTAGATCCATTTCTGAGCCTTTTTATAAGCTCTGGAAGGAGAATAACAGTGAACTGGCAAATTATACATGACAACAGATGGGCTATGGATATGTATAACATAGGTGGAGCTTCCAAAGTGGCCAGCAAGTGGAAGCTCTAAGTAATTCTAGTAAAGTAAATGGTGAATAAGGTTATTTTACAGCATTATAATCATTCTCAAGCAAAAAGTGTCACATTCAAATTCAGTACATTTTCCACAAGCATTGAAAGCATTTGTTTTTCTTCTCTCCCACAATAGGATGGCAGGAAAAGGTGCTGGAACTAACCAACAAGAAAAACTGGTGAGTCTCAGTTTCTTAGGGGTGCCCCAACTTTATGTCTTGGGGTAGCAAAGTTTTATGTTTGGCCAAAAAGACAGAACAGCTAGGCAGCAACTTCTTATCTTTCTGTTTTCACATGTTGCCAATATACATGGAGTCTTTAAAGGGCCTATATCCTACATTTTTCTTGTACTGCCCCCCTTCGATCCAGTTTGGAATTGTCATCATGATTTACACATCATTTTAAGACTTTTTATCCCTTAGATATAAACAAGCTCTTCCTGTTATTGTGTCTTTAAGACCGATATGTAAATTACCTCTGTTACGCTGTCCTGCATTATGCCCCTTTTAAAAAGCTGTCCAGGCTGCATTATAACTTAAACATGAGTGGCTGAGGCTAAACTGCTGCACACTGAATGGGCAGATATATTGATTTTTTGAGCATTACATGACTGTACATTTAAAACCTGTGCAGCATTTTGCAGCATTATTTCAATATGTGGTGCTTACTGAGGAGTAAGAGTGCATTTTAAAATTTGAAGTGTTTACATACAACATCAACACCTTTTAATCATAAAAAAGTGAGTAAATTCTAATTTTCCATGATGAGTTCTTTAAACACTTCAACTTAAACATCTTCAGTGATTTGTTGACATACAAGGCACACTGTACTGCTTTTAAATACAGTGAAAATTCCTCACACCGATGATGTCCAAATCTCTAATACCTTGCAAGTGCTAGCAACATTTGTGCTGTTACACACTCGTCTTGCATTCATTGACAGTTTTAAGATATCAGGGTTAATAGATTTTATTTTATGACATTGCACTAAATGTTTTATTGCTAAAGGTACTTTAAGTAAACAATTTAAAAAGTCCATATCTTACATTTTTCTTGTATTTTATTTTTTCCCCTAAGGTTGGTTTTCTGGTCATAATTAATTTTAGCTGGCAATCTTCCAGTTAAACAGGCTGTTTTTGTGACTGTGCCTTTAAGACAAATATATGAGGTCAGTGAGCTCTGTCCTGACTGGTTGTGCAATCGGAATTGGACTTTGTGCCTCATTCAAAATGCACTCAGAGCTAACACTTTAAGATGAATGGGCGGAGCTAAACTATTTTAGGCTATAGAGGTGGATAGATGTGAGCGGATTGGTTCTCATGACATCACAGAAACAGTGAATTCAAAACTGGCTTTTTTTTTGCAGCTTAGGTTGCCATATATGGACTGTATGGACTATTCACTAAAATATTATGTTTTGAAACTTACATATTACTTCATACTCATTCGTTTCACTTTTCTATGATGTAGGAAAACAAGAAGGTAAAAATATGTTGTTAAAAATATATATTCTCTCATTGGCTGAAGGAATGGGGGTGGCTTAGGGAACTTTTTGGTGGACCAAATTAACCCTTGTGTGGTGTTGATGTGTTTGTTACTCGGTGGTCAGGTAGATCTACCACATTATTGTTATTTTTAAATCAATACAGCCATAAGAATTTATGTAAAATACCAGATGTTTAAAAAGTGTCCAGCGTAGGGTTCTCCTTTAGCAGCTGTAGCCAGTCAGCAGCCTGTCCATGTTGTCCACCCTCACACACACACACACACACACACACACACACACACACACACACACATATATACAAACATGTGTGCATCATTTTATATATATACAATATATAAACATGTGTGCATATATATACAATATACAAACATGTTTATATATATACACAATATATAAACATGTGTTCAGCATTTTTTCTTTTGGTAAACATTACAAAAGGTCCCACAGACATGAACACCACACAAGAATTAAACATCCTTGCTGTGGGCCTGTATGCCTCATTTTGGGCAGCCCTGCCTTAGACTGCCTCAGAACGTTACCCTGAGTTTCTGGGTATCTGTTTTTTTTTTCTTTAAGCTAGATTAAAGTGTCAGCTTTCCTGGAGTGCAGGAAACTAGCAGGTTGTGAAAAACCTAATCATTTGCTGTAGCTCACTGGCTGTTGTGTTGCAGTGATGCAAAGAGACTGGAGGAGCTGTACAACAGAAACCAGCAACTGAGAGAGCAGCAGCGGCTGCTTACAGAGAACATCAAACAGCTGGAGAACATGTAGGTGATGCATAAATCAGCATCTGTATCTGTTAGTAGGAGTATGTCTGTTAACATGCGCATAACTGTGTGTGCAGGTTGCGTGCAGGCCTGTGCGACAGGTGTACAGTTACGCAGGAGGTGGCTAAGAAGCAACAGCAGGACTACGAAAGCTCTCAGCTTCAGAGCCTACAGCACATCTCTATACTGAGTAAGACAACAACATACTTTATATACACACACAACTATAGCTGTTGGCAGTAGCTGTTAACCACAGGAATTACTGTAACTGTCAAGAACAAAGCCCTAGTTTCTAATCTAGCACTAGTGACGCTGACAGCTGACAGAGAGCACAGAGAACAAACAGGGAACGTCACATAGAAGCTCCGACAACCAAAAACAATATCAAAATGTTCAGTATTTAGTGTGTCCACTCTTTTCAGGGGGCTTTATATCAGTTTCCTTTATTCAAAGAAATCTGGAGGTATTCACACCTCCGAAGTTCAGTCTTAGAAGCTGGTTGCATTTCCTGCTCCTCATGATCCAAGAAATCCCAAATACATTCAGTGATGTTAAAGTCTGGACTCTGGGGTGGTCAGTCTATTGTTCCGAGACCACCAGCAGCTTCTTTATTTGATCTGCGAATGTTCTTCTTGTTTGTCTATTTTCTTTCTCAGTAGCAGCTTCTTAACAGCTACACATCCTCACAGAGCTGTCTTCTCACAGTGGAAGGAGGGACAGAAACACCTGTGGATGTTTTCAGATCTGAGGCAGCTTGATTTTCTCCTCTCTCTCAGAGATGAAAGCTTTAAGTGCTGTTTATCTGATGGTGACAGCTTTGGTGGTCTTCCAGGCCTTGCATGATAGCTAGGAGGCCCATTTTTTGTAGATATTTGGATCATTTTTTAACACCCGTCTTGGAAACTTCTGTTTTTCTCACTTATTTTGTTCTTTTGACAGTAGACTTCTTCATACAAGTGGATCTAATCTCTGTAAAAATATCTCCTGAAAAATGAACCTGTACTTAATGGCTGTTGGCAGCCAACTGTGCATACTGTACATAGCCTGTTAAATGTTTGAGAATATTCAGCATTTTTTGCGTGTTTTAAATGTAAACGAGCATTTTTTTCTTACTTGATTTGCATAACGTGCACAACATGTGACAAATGAACCTGGCTTATTTTGAGGTAACCAATATCACACTTTGTAATAATGTTATATAATTTTATATTTTTTGCGACAGTACTACACTGTTAGAAATAAAGGTTCTGTTCAGGTACATTTTCCATTCATCGAGGTACAAACAATGTAAATGTTCTCTCAAAGGTACAACAGTGGTTTTAAGGTCTGATTGTGAACATTAAATAAGTTTTTCCAGGTGAAAAGTTTGTATTTGTACCTTTTCATAACCGAATGTTTTAAAACAGAACAGTGAAATAAAAGCCTGGAGACGAGACGGGGTGTGTGGAGTCAGTACAGCTTAGAACATATCATTTCAGTGGATTATGGTTCAGTTATGTTCCCTGACTAAAGGTACTGAGATGCACCTTTGAGGGTCCCACCCCAGTGACAAGAGGGGCACTGCCCCAGTGACAGTTTAGTACCTTTTTTTCTGAGAGTGTATCTTGGTAATATTGCTAGAAGTAATGCATTTTATGTAACTGTGTTGTCAGCACTCAATGGCACTCCACCTCTAAGCCAAAAGACCCTCAGTATGTGCTTTTAACACACACAGTTTGTTTGGAAAACTGTCAAAGAACAATTTAGGCAAAAAAAAAGCTTTCAAAGGCAAGGAGGACACTTGGATGAACATGAGGCTGAGTGTTGTAAAACGTACACCAGTAGTAAAAAGCTGTTGTACGTAGAGAAAACAAGAGTTATCCTCAGACTTTCAATTGCAGTTTGCCTCAATTGTACACTTTGAAGCTACTTCTGAATCAATAATATAAAAAAACTAAATGTTTTGGGTCAGAAATTATAAGCACAAAGTAACTGACCACATAGTTTATTCTAAAATGCCTTAGACTCTGTTAGATTCCACTGGTATTTGGGCTTAGGGCCCATGTTCATTTGGTCCATTTGGTTATCGCGCAGCCTGTGAATCTGTTATCTGTCAAGTAGACCATCAGCTACTGTAAATGACTTCCCTCACATGTTCTTCTGTTTCCTGTTCCTGTCTTCCTGCTGCTGCAGTGAGTGAGATCAGTGCCCTGATGAAAGAGAATGAAAAGCTGAAGGAGGAGGTGAAGAGTCTACGCAGACGGATAGAGTGAGTGTTGATCATGCACGGTTTGCATGTACAGTATTTGTGCCCTGGTATGAATGTATGGCCTTTCATGTATAACTAGCAATGTTCACTTAGTGGAAGTGACAACCTGCCATGTATGACTGATGCTTTGACTCAAACGGATCAGTCTGAGAGGCACAAACTCATCAGTCTTGTTAGGTCTGGATTTTACTCAAACTGGAATTTTTTTTCTAGAACATCACAGCCATAAAGGGTGTGTTCAAAAACTGAGGTTGGAATACAAACAGGACTCGTGGTTTTAATGAATAAATCGACTAAATCTGGCAAACTCAAAAACAAATTCATTTTATTTAACATCTTTTTTATGATACATTCTAAAATGCTTAACACTGAATGGGGAGTTCCACTGATTTCACAAAATGTTTGCATAATTGACTCAATGAGATGCAAACAAAGTCATTCTGAGTGTTTCAGTTGATGTAAAATGGCTCATTGTGGAGAAACTTAATGAGTCAAATTTCTTAACAGTGGTGGTGATGGGAACCAGGAGTCTACAGTGCAAATATAGACATTTGATTTACTATCCAGAACAACCATCATTGCCTTCTGAAGGTTTATTTGCAATGTTTATAATAGTAATATAGTGGTCAAATTTTCTTTGAGTACTATTTTGCCTTACAACACTCTGCATCTCCCATAAATGTATTAAAAAAAACACAATTTAGGCCAATACGTTATCTCAAAACTACTGTAAAACAGTATTTCAGGGATCAGGCAGCATATTCATAACCATTTTGTGTAATAGCTGTCTGGGAGGGAGCTTTTAGAGGCATTAAAATTCAGACCAGACATCTGGTTCCTATCACGGCCACTGTGAACAATTCGAACTTGACAAGTTTTCGAGGAATGGCACATTTTACATCAAATCACTCTGAATGTCTTTACTTACATCTTGATATAATTATGCAGAAAATAAAAAAAAAAGATAAAACAGTGACCAAGGAACACCAAATCCCTTCCTTTGCCATAAATACATCCAAAAGGATGATTTTAGTGCGTTGCATTAAGCCTTGTTAAGCTGTATAAGCTTATAATGGGCTTAAATGGAGAAGGGAAAAAATGAAAATAGAAATTAATGCTTTTTCCTGATGTTATGAGTTCTTTTGGCATGAGACAATGTTTATTACTCGTAAGATGTGAGAGAAAATTGGTGCTCCTAGAATGTTGTTTTATCAAATTAAGCCATGTTAAGCACTTTTCTTATGAGGGGTTTGAGCGAAGGGAAAAAGCTTAAGGTAAAAATCATCGCTGAGTCTTTGGATTATTTCTGGATCTTTTATGTTTTTCTAATATATTTAAGCCATATTAAACTAGCCATCTTGTCTTAGCTAAAGCTGACACCACTCACAGCTTGTTTGAGGGACAGACTCTCTGTGCTGTCATATATGTGGGACATTTTGCTGATAGAGAAATGATGGGATTCCACTCTATTCAATTCCCAAGGTGTCTATTACAGATACAACTTCATTGAAGCTGATTTTTTGACGATCATTCTGTCCTCAACCTTTCAGGCAAAAGAACGGTCACCCGGAGGAAGCCAGAAGTCCAGAAGTCAAACGCTCCCCTGACCCTACAGCCTCTCCTGTGACCCTCCTGACCTCGGGGCTGAAGGCCGAGCAGCCGTCAGCAGGGGGCGCCACCACATCAACAGCCATTGTGAAAAGTGAGAATGAACACTGCCAAACCACAGAGACGCTGTCTGAGAGGACGGAAACATCAAGTAACGTCTAAATCTTCTCAGTTGTCCAGATCACATCAGTGCATCCTCTTCATGATTTTACCCGTTTGTAATTCTTGTTTTCTGTGAACACGTATAGATAAAGGATCCGAGCACAAACATCAGCAAGGGTGGAGTGGAACATATCCTTTTGTAAGTACAAGCACTCAGTGTGGCCAGTTTACTTTTATAAGTCCTTTTCACAAACATTCCAGGCAAGATTTATGGGAGCAAATAGCATATTTCACAGCAAATCATGATTTGAGTGACTCAAACCACTCTGAATGACTTTGTTTACATCTAAACAACTGAATTTTGCAGAAATTCCCTTCTAAAGGTTTCAAAAATATTTTATAAATGAGTCAATTTGCCGACAACAAACACAACACAAGAAGTTCATTGATATCCAGTGTAATCAAAGACGTTTCTCCATGATGTTCGATTGGCTCGCAGTGCTATACTCTATTATTATTAGTTTTATTTGAGGAAAAGCCTCTACTGTCTTTGTTGATAAAAGTCCCATCCATCAACCAGCTTTTAATTGATTTTTTAACATGCCTCATGTAGTTCATCCACCTTTCAGGAGCACCTGAGTGTGAGAATTAGGTGGATATAATTCAGACAGCAGTAAAACTCATTATGTCAACTATTATGTTGCATTATTATATTTATATGTTATATTGTCTTATTATATATCACTGCTGTTGGAAGAAAACCTCATATCTCCATTTTGTCATTTTTCTATTTTTGACATAATTTGAAAATGCCTGTTGTTCTTTAAATTGTGTGTAAATTTCATGATGAATGGACCAAAAGAAACAGCCCAAAATTACTTGGAAAAACGTCTGGTTCCATTGACTTACATTAAAAGTAAAGTAGGTTTTTTCCTTCTCCTGTAAAGTTTTAATTTTGGAGATACGAGGTTTGTTCCAACAACAGCAATATGTTATATTCCTTTTTATCTTTACCAAGTTAGTATTGCTTCCCAATGTTTAGCCTGTAATGTGTTTAGCATTACATGTGTTATATGTGGTTCTATATAGAACCTTTTTGAAAGTGGTTCAATATAACACCTAAAAGGGTTCTGCTGTTGTTATAAGTTGAACATCATAACCATGGCAGCCATTCCTTTTTGTAAAAGGTTCTATATAGAACCATGAAACATAAACAACACATTCTACATTAAGTTGAAGAACCATTTCACCATGCAAAGAACCATTTGAGCATGAAATGGTTCTAGCCATTCCTTTACTAAAAAAAAAAACTTTGAAAAACATCTTTTCAAGCATGAACGTGTTTTGTTCTTTTTTCCATCTGATTGATACTGTGTCATTTCAGGAGTTGAGTAAGCTTCCTACTCCTGTGAGCCCAACAAACCCAGCAACATGGAGAGAGAGGAGGTAAGATAGCAGATATGGTTAGGCAGTATCTACTTTATGCCAGTGTAAGATATTTCCAGGAGGATGAGGGAAGAGATGGTGGGTTAAAATAAAATTGGTTCCATGAATGTTTAAATTTCTTCTGCAACATTGTTTGTTGTAAGTCAGAATGTAACGTGGCATTAGCTGTTAAGTGTTTGAAAAGGTGCTTTATCTAATGGCAGCTGAAGAACTTACACAAGTGATTCATACATACAGATAAAATGAAGCACTGCAAAAAGTTAAACATTAACCTTTAACAAATTTCATCTGACAAGTGGGCGGACCAACGTCGGCAGGCTATACTGTATAGCAGCACAAACCTAAGGCTGATTTGCATGTTGCTATAAATATTTAGGAAAAATACATCAATAATGAGAGATGTGATGAGAACTCAGCAGAAAGAGGAAGAACTATTAATAACAGAGCATAAGCAACAAATGCTTATGTGGTAAATAAGTCTTGAAAACGATTGCCTGATAACGAACAGACCATGTTAGTGCTTCTTTCTTTTTGTCTAAATTGACTATAATTAAACAAAACAACAATCTATTTTGGGTTAAATTAGAGTTTTAAAACGTATAGGCATGATTGCAAATATCTGGCAGCTCTTTCACACTTTTGCCATTCTGAACAAAGCAATATGTCTATTAACTAAATATCAGTCTAAAGATACATTGACTATTGATACAAATAAAAGAGTAGTAAGTAAGCTGTTAGGCTAGCTGCTTGTCTAAGGGCAGATTCACACTGCCACTGGTGTGGGAAAGTTTATGGAAAAGTAAATGGTGGAAAAGTAAGCTATGTAATTTTTTTGGTTGAATATCTTGTGACAGGCAAAAATGATCTTACATAATTTTAAAAAGTGGGAAGAATCTGTACACCATCTCCCCCCCAACTCCACCCCCTATTTCACACCAGTGGCTTTAAATGTAACCTTATTAACCAGAAAATAAATGAGCACAAATTTTAGTCCGTCTCTCAACTGGAATATAAGAGACCAACCTAAAGTAAAAGAACTACAACCCCAAACAAAAACGAAAAACAAAATTTCCAAAAAAAAGTTGGGATGCTGGGCAAAATGAATATAAAAACAAAATGTAATGATGTACAAAACACTTAAACCCTATATTTCATTGAAAATAGTACAAAGACAACATATCAAATGTTGAAACTGAGAAACTGAGTTTTTTGAACAATATTTGCCCATTTTGAATTTGATGCCAACAACACGTTCCAAAAAAGTTGGGATGGGGGCAACAAAAGGCTGGTAAAGTTGTGTAAAGCTAAAAAAAAAAAAAAACTGGCGGTTGATTGACAACAGGTCAGTAACATAACTGGGTATAAAAAGAGCATCCCAGAGTCTTTCAGAAGTAAAGATGAGGAGGGGTTCACCACTCTGTGAAAGACTGCAAGATCAAATAGTGCAACAATTCAAGAATAACATTTCTCAACGTAAAGAACTTTTGCTTTTCATCATCTACGGTACATAATAACATTAAAAGATTCAGAGAATCTGGAGAAATCTCTGTATGCAAGGGACAAGACCAAAAACCAGTATTTGCTGGTTGTGATCTTTGGGCCCTCAGGCAGCACTGCATTAAAAACAGATATGATTCTGTAGTAGAAATCACTGCATGGGCTCAGAAACACTTCTGACTTCTTTTCACTGTCTGTGAAAACAGTTTGTCGCTGCAAGTTAAAACTCTAAAACACAAAGAATAATCTGTACATAAAAAGGATCTAGAAATGCTGCCACCTTTTCTGGGCCTGAGTTCATTTAAAATGGACTGAGGCGAAGTGGAAGTGTGTCCTGTGGTCCGACAAATTTGAAATTCTTTTTGGAAATCATGGACACTGTGTCCTCTGGGCTAAAGACCACTCAGCTTGTTATCAGTGCACAGTTCAAAAGCCAGTATTCATGATAGTATAGGGGTGCATTAGTGCACTTGGCATGGGTGACGTGCACACCTGTGAAGAAGAAAAGGTGATGAAACACAGCGGTAAACAGGCCCCCATCCCAACTTTTTTGGAACGTGATGTTGGCAAATTCAAAATAGGCATATATTTTTCAAAAGACAGTAAAATTTCTCAGTTTCAACATTTGACATGTTATTTTTATAGTTTTTTTTTTTACTTTTAAAATATGGTTTGCATGATTTGCATATTATTGCATCATATTTTTATTTACATTCTTCACAGCATCCCAACTTTTTTTTTTTCAAAATGGGGTTATAAAAGCAACAGGCTAAAGGTTTCATACACCAAAAAAGCTAGTTTGATTTCAGCTCCAACACTGGTCACTCAAACTCATTCCCTCAGATTTGAGTCTTGATCCTTTAAACTTGGGTCAGTTATTCAAGCCTGTCCTGTGATGTGTGGAACGCACACAATTTTGAGATAATACTGTAAAAGAGAGCAGGGCATGGAAAGTATCCACAGGGAGGAAAAACTATTTGCACCTGCCTCCTGATTCTTGACCTCTTCTCCACAGAGCAGTCAGCGTGGACTCCCTGGAGCCTCGTCCATCTCCAACCTCCCCATCCCTTCCCTCTCACCTCCGTCTGCTAAGGAAAAACCCTTTTCTTTCGGAGGAACGCCGTGACCGAGTGTCCATGCCATTCCGACCCCATCCTATAAAAAGGGCTCCACCCACCCTCCGCTGGCCCCTGCCTGACCACACAGACTGGGTGGCGATGGCAAAAGTGGCAAGTGGGGCTCATCCAAACATGAACCGAGAGTCCAGCCCCTCCATGCTGCGTTTTCCCAGTCCGGTTACCCCTACCGGAGGTCTTGACCCCTGCTTGCAATCTCAGGGGTCCAGCCACCCGCAGCCCTGGTCTGATCACCTGCCTCGAAAGATCGTCTCTGAGCTGGGTGAAAGCAGAGACAGGAGAACTACAGTGTCAGTTATAGCATCACCCTCCCGGAAAAGTTCTGCAGTGCAGCCTGAGCAAATCTTTGGGGAGAATCTGAAAGAGGGGGAGGAGGAGACCCCCCTGGACCTGTCAAGTGCGGGAGGCTCCAAAGTCAAAGAAACAGAGACAATAGGGACAGTACAGAGCCAATCACAGAGTGACATGGCATCATCATCATCGTCATCTTCTTCATCATCATCGCCTCCCGCTCCACTCTCCTCGCCATCTTCGGCTCACTACGCCTCCAGCCCTCAGAGTGACCCACAGGCAGGAGATACTAAACCACAGGTACAAGATACAACATCGTCCCAAATCTCCATGTATGGGCCCTTGTAGTTTGAGATATTGAGTCAAACCCGTTTTGGAAAGTGACAGTTTAGAATTCCAGGATCTCAGTTTGTTGAACAGAAGTTCAGAGATATCATATGAGTGTATATTTAGGAAATAGTCCATGACCATGCCTTCAACATGGTGGTGGTAGTATGAGGGAAGACTGATTGAGGGAGGGGGAGAACTTGGGCAGGAGTTCTAGGTAGCTTCTACATGTAGCTAGAAGGCCAGATCCCCCCTCATAGCTGTAGTAGGACTGATGTAGGACTGAGGAACAGGGAGGAAATGGGGTGGCTTTGGATTACGAACCCTTCGTCATGAGAACGGAAGGTGAGGTTGTGAATTTATAGGGCGTTAGATTGGAACAAGTGAGGGTTTCAGGCATGTTCCTTCCCCCAAACTTTAGTTATAACATGACTACATTTGAAGTGTAGTATATTGGTTTACACAGTGTTTTGTGCCAGGTGAATTCCAGCATGGAGAAAGATCTCTCAGACTGTGTTTTCCTTGTTTAATGGAGGCAACTGAACACCTGGGTAATTATTGCCAGCATAAAGCTGGCAGGATGTGGATGACATTTTATAGCACTAGTTAATATTTGCTTTTGCTTCATAATTAACATTTTTTTCTGTTACCACCAGCAACAGACACATACACATACACCGATCAGGCATAACATTATGACCACCTGCTTGTTTCTACACTCATTGTCCATTTTATCAGCTCCACTTACTATATAGGTGCACTTTGTAGTTCTACAGTTACAGACTGTAGTCCATCTGTTTCTCTGCATACTTTGTTAGCCCCCTTTTACCCTGTTCTTCAGTGGTCAGGACCCCCATGGACCCTCACAGAGCAGGTACTATTTGGGTGGTGGATCATTCTCAGCACTGCAGTAACACTGACGTGGTGGTGGTGTGTTAGTGTGTGTTGTGCTGGTCTGAGTTGATCAGACACAGCAGAGCTGCTGGAGTTTTTAAACACCTCAGTGTCACTGCTGGACTGAGAATAGTCCACCAACCAAAAACGTTCAGCCAACAGCATCCTGTGGGCAGCGTCCTGTGACCACCGATGAAGGACTAGAGGATGACCAACACAAACTGTGCAGCAGCAGATGAGCTATCGCCTCTGACTTTACATCTACAAGGTGGACCGACAAGGTAGGAGTGTCTAATAGAGTGGACAGTGAGTGGACACAGTGTTTAAAACTCCAGCAGCTCTGCTGTGTCTGATCCACTCATACCAGCACAACACACACTAACAACACCACCACGTCAGTGTTACTGCAGTGCTGAGAATGATCCACCACCCAAATAGTACCTGCTCTGTGAGGGTCCATGGGGGTCCTGACCACTGAAGAACAGGGTAAAAGGGGGCTAACAAAGTATGCAGAGAAACAGATGGACTACAGTCTGTAACTGTAGAACTACAAAGTGCACCTATATAGTAAGTGGAGCTGATAAAATGGACAATGAGCGTAGAAACAAGGAGGTGGTCATAATGTTATGCCTGATCAGTGTATCTTCCACATGTGTAGAGTAGGTTCCTGTTTGTTTGTATGTAATGGGGTGTGAGTGTGTTTTTGATTATACCCTAAAACTATTCCTTTCCTACAATTTCGCTCAGAGGGAAGAGACTTCGGAAAGGCCAAAGGAAGAGGGTGAAGAGGAGAAAGAGAAGAAAGTGAATGTAGAGTTCACAGAGAACCTGAAGGTCCCCACTCTGACCATTTCACTTCGCCCAGGTACAGACTCAGTAATCGGTGTTCTAGATAGGAAAAGTGACCAGTCAGTATTCATCTCTCAATAAATAACGATAATAAATCTCTCAGTAAATAATGCTTGTGTTTGTTGGCACAGTTGTGGTCCTGGAATCACTGAAAACCACAGGGCAGGTAACTCATCTAAAACAGACTGATAACTCTATGCAATAACATAATTCACATGATTTGCGGAGTTTAATGCATCGTAAATGCTTTGCTGTTGCAGAAGGAGCAGGACTTTGAGCAAAAGAGCAGCTTACTGGAGTCGGAGCAAGAAGAGAACAACCACAGAACAGGGAGGAAGAGAGCAGGCCAGGACAATGAAGGTATGAGGGCTTCCTTCATTCATTCATTCACTTTCTTCAACTCTTCCTCCATCCATCGATATGTTTATCCATCATCCATGTACCTATGCATTCATCCACTCATCATTCATTCACCCTCTCATCCATCCAAGCCAACTACGCATCCATCCATCCATCTGTTAATCAGTTCTTTAATTTGTTCTGTGCCTTCATCATCCATCCATTCATTTTTTTATGTATTTGTCTATCCATCCATCCATCCATCCATCCATCTCATTGATTCACTCTCTCAACCGTCCATCCACCCATCCATCATCCATCCATTCATCCACTTATCTCTTCACTCATTTTTTCATCCATTCACCCCTCATCCATCCATCCATCCACCTTTAATCAGTTCATTCATTTGTCCTTCCTTCCATCCATCCATCCATGTTAATCAATTCATTCATTCATTCTATTCATTTATCCATCTTTATTTATTCGTCCATCTACATATCCATCCTCCTATCCATCCACTCACCTTTCTCCATTTGTCTATCTTTTTATTCATTCACAGACCCATTATTCATCCATCCAACCATCCATTCTTTCTTTCATGCACATATATACGTCCATCCTCATGGACCCCATTCACCCACCCTTTCATCTATCCATCCATCTATCCATTTATTCATTCGTTTGTACATATTTCCTGGTCTTGTTATGTTTTTGTTTTTTTTCTGGTTTAGTTTTTTCTCGACGGCCACTTAAAGAGAAGAGAATGAGGCTGACAGTTATGCCACAGGGGCCCAACCATGGAGACTCTGAGCAAGGCTGAACCACGCAGAAGTGGGAACAAGTCACTAAGTTGCAAGTAACAAGTAAGTCTCAAGTCTTGACACTTAAGTCCTGAGTCAAGAAAGTCGAGTCTCAATTCAAGTCCCGAGTCAGTACAGGCAAGTCTCAAGTCTGGTTCCAAGTCCTAATGTTCGAGTCCTAAACAAGGCAGTCTGCATTCTTCAGCTAATTTAAGGCCGTAACACTGAACACAAAAGTGCTGGTAACAGTAATGTAGCCAATGACAGAGTGTTACAGTGTGTTGCTGTATGTTAATTGTTTATTCTTTTTTTTTTTCACCCTTCTAAATAAAGTACAAAACCCATGGTACACAGATAACCATGACAGACATCCTGGTATAAACAAAGAGAAGTGCAACTACACATGAAAACAATTTTCAAAGTACTGTTGAACTAATTAAAAAAAAATATATATATATATATATATTGAAAAATAATAATGTTTGATGATTTTTGGGAACATCTGACGCATTGGATTCAAACAAAAACTAGCTCAGCACTAAAACTAGCTTAGCCAGCTAAAACAACTTCCAGTTTGTATTGAATTTAGACAACAACAGAAACCAAAACAACCAAGCTGAGCTAAACAAAGTTTAAAGAAAAGACAGAAAATTATGGCGAATGGTGCAAAGCTGATGGTGACTTTTAATTCGCCAGCAGCTTCTTATTCAAATTTTCCATTCCAGCTTAACCTTTTCAACTCTCTGAGACCACCAGTGGTTCCAAAACGCACTTCGTCATATTCTTCATAATTTTCATATTTCATAAGCTACATTCTAAAGGTGGGGGTCGTATGAGAGCTGTAACTGTCTTCTTTCCAGTCAAATAGATGGGTGATGTAATTTTAAACCCTTGTAATAGAAAAAGCTGGACTCACAACTTTTTTTGTCTACTGAAAGTCGACCCATTTTTCCACAAATCTGGGCTATAAACTATAAACAGATGGCGTCTCTTCAGTGATCTGCTCTGTAAAAACTATTTTTATAAAATAATACAAAGAGTGTCTAAGATTTTTGGCTTTCAGCAGTAAATTGTAAGCATATAGCAATATGTGTGATCATAAAACACATGTTCTGTTAATTTGAGGGGAGCTTTTAAAATAAATAAATAAATAAATAAAATAAAAATTTACATTTATTTCATGCAGTTACTGAATAATTTGCCTTACGATTTGGTCATGTAAATTCAGATGGAAAAACCAAAATATACCCTGGAGAATAAGAGGTTAAATTGTACAGCAGTTACATTCTAGTGTTGCATCCGATTCAGTTCCCTCTCAAAATCACGTTCCCCTTCACAAATCAAGCCCTCAAGAACAGAAATTAGTGCCAAGCAACACTGGAACTACGGAAAGTGCGAAGGTTTTTGCTTGGCAATGATTCCTGTTAAGCAAATACACACGCCCGAGGGCTTGATTTGCAAGTGGAACTTGATTTTGAGGGGGAACTGAATCGGGTGCAACACCGGAACATAACTGTGCATCATTTAAGGTGAAGCAGCCAATTGTAATATGAAGCTGGCGATTTACAACTTAAATTCAGCCTCGTGGTGAATGTTGTGCTTGATTTACCCGCAGAAGCTGTTAAAACCATTCAAATAGAGAGAATTCTGTTTCTTTTGTTTCACTACCATGAGGAAAATGGTCAATTCTCTGGGTAAGTTTCTCCAGTAAGACTGAAGTTTAAGTGCTGAGTCAGAGCTTATTGATGCATTCAATGCTTTGCTTGTTTCTAGCATGGAGGCGAACTTGAACTCTAAACACTTCAATTGTCTTCTGAGATAAAATAAGCCAAGCATAAACACAGTGACAGACATCTGACGATGCTGCTGTGTATCAGATTTACGAGAAAACGAATCCAGTCACAGGAAAAGTAAGCGGCTGTGTAGAGTCCCGTCTGCAGTCACACTCTCTCCCTTTTGGGTTTTAAGTCTTTCCGAGTCATGAGGCTCAAGTCTGAGTCAAAGTCTGAGTCACTGGTGTTCGAGTCAAAGTTGAGTCGCAATATTTTGTCAAGTCGAGTCTCAAGTCATCAAATTCGTGATATAAGTCCAAGTCATATGACTCGAGTCCACACCTCTAGACCCAAGGTCTCTTTCTCTTTCAATTACTATTAAACTCAAAGTGCTTTACTAACTAATATCATCTAAACAGTAAATGCTGTTCCTCAATAACAAAAACAAGAACAAAATAATAGCTGTTCCTGCACTTAACAACAGTGAATTTTGCTTATTGTCTTTAAATATTTAAATAATGGTCCACCTGTCTGGTAAGAATATCTGCATGTGGGACTACATTCTTCAGGCTACAGTGTCTGGCAGCAGATTTTGTAGGAATAGCTGGAGTGTGTTGCTCTCATAGGCTGAACTGTTTCACGTTTTTTGTTAACATTGAATTTATTTGACTCAAACGTGCATCACATCATTTTGTCTTTCAGTTTATGTACTGATTCTGTGTCAGTGTAATGTACAGGGTGATTCAAAAAGATTCATTCGATTTCAAAACGCCATATTTTGTACAACCGTGAGGCGCCTAGGAACCAATCACAATCCAATTGAAAGAGGGGGTCATAGAGTTTCTGACTGACACCAGAAGATGGCTCCCTTCAGTCTGAGAGGAGATGAGACCCCTGAGCAGAAAGCGTTCTGCGTTCTCCACTTCAATAAGAGTGAATCCGTCATAACTGTGCAGTGTGATTTTCGTGGGCAGTGAAGCTCCAACAGCTCAGAGCGTTCGGCGTTGGTTCCACAACACTGGATGATCTCCGAAATCGCACTGAAAGAGCCGTGAGTGCAGCGACACCCGACATGCTCAATCCAGTATGGGATGAATTTGACTATGGCGTTGATGTTGTCTGTACAGCTGGAGGAGGTTCATACTGAGACCTTGTACAATTACATAATAAACTTTATGCTCATTTAAACCATTTACAGTTTACTGCATTGATCTGTAATGATTTACAAGTGAAACAAATCATTCTGAAATCGGATGAATCTTTTTGAATCACCCCGTATTTAACACAAGTGGAGATGATGCACACGTCTGAATGAAGTGAAACTTTTTTCAATGCATCTGATTCGTGTTGAATTATCTTCCTGCTATGCTTTGTGTCACATCCCATATTAATGCACTGTCTTGTCTTACAGATCTGTGCATCGCTCTGGATCTTCTTACTGTCCTCTCATCAACTCGTGTTCTGCCTTCCTACAAGAAACAAAAAAACAAAAAAACAAGAAGACGGACCTTCTGCTGTAACTCTATTAGCACGAGCGTCAAGAGACCCTCGTGCAACCTACAGGAAATAAAAAAAGCAAACCACATCTAATCTTAGCACTTGGGAGCTCCTGAATATGACGGTTTGCTTAGACTTTAAATTCCATAGCCTGACCGCAGAGCACGCTCCGAGTCTTCTTCATCATAGCATCTCCTGGCCAGATCTTTGACCAGAGCAAACAGGAAGTGAGCAGTATACTTCCTGTCCTGAGGCTTTGACTACACTTGAACTTGTAATCGGACGTCGTTTCCTTTGGACCCTTTTGCTTCGCCCTCCTTTATGTCTCTCCCTCTCTCCCTCTCTTCCTCTTTATACATAGACATCGACTCAACTCCAGTGAACCCCCCTTTCCCACCCCCCACCCCCCCGCCATCCCTTTCCCTCTGAATCAGTTTCCACTATTTTCACTTCCGCAATCCAAGGTTGATTCTCTCTCTTTCACAGAAATAGTCGCAGTTAACTCTCTGGGCTATTTCTGTCAGCGTCGCCGGCCTGCTGCAAACGCGACAAAACGAAAGACCCTCCTCTTCCTCTTTTTGGTTTTTTGAGACGCCACTGCACATATTTTGTAAGAGTGAATTTTCCACTTGCAGCAGCTGTGGCCATTTCGAGCACATTAGGGGGGAGGGGTGAAACTGTGACAGTGAAAACCAAACGTGTAAAAAATAATAATCACGCCTTTAGCTTGTTTCTCTTTCTCGCCGCTGTTCTTGACAATCATTTGAACAGTTAATACGATTTACTGCCTCTGTTTCACCCATCTTAAGGCACTTTTAGAGTAGTAGTATCTGAATGGCTTTGACAGTTTGTTCGTGGGAGAAAAAAACTGCTGTCCATCTTTTTACTGTACGTTGAAATAAACCAGTGTAAACTCTTTTGAGTGTGGATGGAGTGTTTCTATGCAGTAAGCTGTGTCACAGCGGTGTGCACACATTTCCTCTGACAGAATATACGTCTAGGAAATGACATTTCATAATGAAACAATGCCGGGATGTTCAAATATTATCTTGTGCTGTAATACTACAATGCCACGTAAAGAGTACCCAAATAATACAAATATTAATATTCTTTTCATCATTGTACAGTAGCTTGCAATGACATACTATACAGTAGATTATTCAATATTATACACTCATCTTTGAACTGATTAATGTTGGCAAACATCCACCAGCTATAGCTACTGTGTTCACAAGTCATTTTAGTCAGTACAGAAATATATCGCTGTTGTCGGACGAAAACCTTGTTATCTCCATTTTTGTCGTTTTTCAGTTTTTGACATAATTTGAAAATATCTATTGTCCTTTACATTGTTTGTAGATTTCATGATGAATGGACCAAAAGAAACGGCTCAAAACGACTTGGAAAAAAGTCTGGTTCCATTGACTTACATTAAAAGTAAAGTAGGTTTTTTCCTTCTCCTGTAAAGTTACCATTTCGGAGATACGAGGTTTTCGTCCGACAACAGCAATTTCATACGCATTCAGTGATGTTGAAGTCTGGACTCTGGGGTGGTGAGTCCATACTGAAAACACCAGCAGCTTCTTTGTTTGATTTACAAATGTTCTTTTTTATGCATTTCCTTTGCTCAGTAACAGCTTCTTGACAGCTACACATCATTTTAGACCCATAGCGCTGAGTTGTCTTCTCACAGTGGAAGGAGGGACAGAAACACCTGTGGATGTTTTCAGTTTTGAAGCAGCTTGATTTTCTCCTCTCTCTCAAAGATAAAAGTGCTGTTTATCTGATGGTGACAGTTTTGGTGGTCAACCAGGTTCTGCATGTAATTTTTAATTTTTTTAATTTTTTTATTTAATATATATACACACACCCTTTTATGAATGCCATTTTTAATCGTTAGGCATTAAGGCATCCTTCCATTTGCAAGTGGATTACATTATGTCTTATCTCCACAGAAATATTTCCTACAAAATTAATAACTTGTACTCAGTGGCCATTATGACTGGAAATTAATGAAATGAGATTTATATATATATATATATATATATATATATATATATAGCCATTAATATGGAATTGGTCCCCCTTTGCAGCTTTAACAGCTTCCACTCTTCTGGGAAGCTTCCTACATGATTATAGAGATTGTCTGTGGGAATTTTTGCCCATTCATCCAGAAGAGCATTTGTAAGGTCAGACACTGATCTTGGACGAAAGGGCCTGACCAAAAACGATGGGGTTGAGGTCAGAGCTCTGTGAGGGCCAGTCAAGTTCTTCCACACCAAACTCACCCACTCATGCCTTTATGGAGCTGCTTTGTGCGCTGGGGCTCAGTCATACTGGAACAGAAAAGGTCCTTCCCCTAACTGTTCCCACAAAGTTGGCAATGTACAATTGTCCAAAATGTCTTGTTCTGCTGAAGCATTAAGATTTCCCTTTGACTGGAACTAAGGGTTCTAGGCCAACCCCTGAAAAACAACCCCATAGCATTATAACTCCTCCACCACACTTGACAGCTGGCACAGTGCAGTCAGGTAGATAACATTCTCCTGGCATTCATCAAACCCAGACTCTTCCATCTGATAGAGAAGCGTAATTCATCACTCCACAGAATATGTTTGCTCCAGAGTCTAGTGGCGGCGTGCTTTTCACCTCCCCCCCTACGCTTGGCATTGTGCATGTTGATCTTAGGCTTGTGTGCAGCTGCTTGGCCATTGAAACCCATTTTGTGAAGCTTCTAACATGCAGTTTTTTTGCTGATGTTGCTTCCTGAGGCAGTCTGGAACTTTTTAGTGATGATTCAACAGATGATAGGCACCGTACACTTCAGCACTCGGCGGCCTCACTCTGAGTTTGCATGAAATACCACTTTGTGGCTGAGCTGTTGTTGCTCTTAGATGTTTCCATTTCACAATAATAGCACTTATAGTTGACCGGGGCAGATCTAGCAGGACAGACATTTCACAGACTGACTTGTGGTGAAGGTGGCATCCTATGACAGTGCCATGTTTAAAGTCACTGAGCTCATCAGTGAGGCCCATTCTGCTGCCAGTGTTTGTCTATGGAGGCTGCAGGGCTGTGTGCTTAATTTGATCCACCTGCTAGAAATGGGTGTGGCTGAAACACCTGAAGTCAATAACAAAGAGGTGTGTCCCAATACTAAATACATACATTTTATATATATATATATATATATATATATATATATATATATATATATATATATATATACAACAGGTGTTTTCAAGTTATGAAAAAAAAACTGAAAAACAACAAAAATGGAGAAAATGTGTATATATATATATATATATATATATATATATATACATATATATATGTCACTGTTGTTAGAACAAAACCTCTTTACAGGAGAGGGAAAAACCTGCTTTACTTGTAATGTAAGTAAATGGAAGTCATTTTTGGTCTTTATTTTTAGTCAATTTATCATGAAATTTGCACACAGTGTAAAGGACAAACAGGTATTTTCAACTAATGTCAAAAGTAATTTTAATAATATATATATGTACATGTGTTAACTTAATAGATCTTAACATAATGAGGTTTTATTCATCAGAACTTTTGACACTACATTGAAAGCACCTGGCAAGTAGTGCAAAATAAATAAATAAATTAATTAAATAAATACTAAATACAACGTTTAGATATGACCGCATACATAACATTCTACATTTAGACTTATATATGTTCTGAATCAGCACAGGGCTAACACGTTATCTCTGCCGAAATGGAAAAATGGAAATGGCAGTATTAAACAAAAGCCAAATTTTATAAACTTTTTCTATTTATTTATTTTTGAATTTTGATTTTTAAAGACGTTCCTGGAGTCACATGTTCTGCCTTTCAGATTCAAAGTAAATGTGAGTGTGTTAGTTCAAACGTTGGCCTAAATTTTGACCCAGTTTTTCTCCGCCCTCACTGAGAGTCACTGGGTTGTAATATGACGCTACTTTTCTTTGAGGTTTGAAAGTAGGCTTGGGTGCAGCAGGCTAGCTGGTGCACACAGGGTTTAATCCTATGGCTAATTATTTATCAGCACTCTGGAGTCCAGCTTCTTCCCTCTGTTTTAGCAGTATTTGCATATTACCGGTGCACACGTGTCCCGCAGTGTGAGAATGAACTCTTTGTGTTGTCGTGAGCATAAAGAGTTCAAGAAGCACATATCTGTAAGTATATAAGAGCTTACGATTGGAGTGACCTCTCCATCTGCACCGACCTCTAGATGTGTGTGTGTGAGTGAGTGGGTGGGTGGTGGCATGACATCGGAAGAGAGAAAGAGAGAGAGAGAGAGAGAGAGAGAGAGAGAGAGAGAGAGAGAGAGAGGAAGAGAGGGAGGGAATGATCCAAATTCTCCCTAATCATTTTTTCTCTCTTCATTTAGCAGTGGACAGATGGAGGGATGTTAAGCACAGAGAACTGTGACGCTCGAGATGAATAACTAACCCCCTATTATTCTTTCTCCACCATGATTCCCTCCATCTCTCTCTCTCTCTCTCTCTCTCTCTCTGAAGGAAGTTAGTGTTTAATCCTGGCATTTGATAAGGGCTTAGAGAATCACTGCTTATGTGTCCCCATGTGACTGACTCCCACTCTGTGTGTGTATGTGTGTGTCCATTGGTTCACTCATTTAACTTTCTCTTTTCTTTACATTATTATTACTTTATTATATTATATTATTCATAAAATGTCCAGTAAATGTCCAGTATATTCCAGTATATTATAGAATTTTTTCCAAGTAAGTTCATCATGAAATTTACACACAATGTAAAGAGCAACAAGCATCTTCAAATTATTTAAAAAACTGAAAAATGGCAAAAATGGAGATACAAGATTTTATTCCAACAGCAGTGATATACACACACATATATACATATTATATATTATACATAATATATATATATATATATATATATATATATATATATATATATATATATATAATTTTTTTTTACTGTCTGCATTATTTGACCACAGC